TTTCTATATAGGCTCTTATTATCGTATTATATCTCTTAGGCTCTTATTATATTTCTATTTTCCATTTTTATTTTTATATATCTATATGTATATATTGTGTTAGATATTGTATATACTACTATATAATAGTAAGTACTATTCTTTAACATTGTGTGAGTGGAACAACTGAAACAAATTTCCCCCCCGGGGATCATTAAGTATTTCTGATTCTGATTCTGTAGACCGCAGCTCCACACCACTGAGACCGCAGCTGAAAAAACGATGTGATGCATCGAGACACTCATGAGACCGGCATCAATAAAAAATGAGGAACAAAACTAGGATTAAAATAGGTCAATTCTGGGTGCCTGGTTAGCTCAGTCGGTAGAGCTGGCGACCCATGTACCAAGGCTGAGTCCTTCCTGCAGCAGCCCAGGGTTCAAATCCAACCTGCGGTCCTTTGCTGCATGTCATCCGCTCTCTCTCTCTCTGCCCCACTTTCCTGTCTGCCTTCAGCTGTCACTATAATAAAGGTAATAAAAGCCCCAAAAATATACTTTAAAAAAATAGGTCAATACTAGGCCTTCCGGTAGATTACGTGACCGAGCAAGTGCTGTCTTTTATTGTCAAGTCATACACCTGTTCTGTGCAAAATGCCCACTTAATCCAATGACCACAGAAACCTCACTACTATCTCACACATATGGCTGTTTCTTATATCAGCTAAATTCAGTTTTTCAGCAGTGAGTGTAAACAAGTACCACAGGAGCCATGAGATGCTGGAACACATTTTTAATTAACTCAAATCCTTCCGATATTTACTGATAGAGAATACCTCCTGGTATGACACCAAAATCAATATGTCAAGGTACCACAGTTAATTTGTCATTACTTATTTACATACTGTATTCCATATCCCACACCACTATTTAATTATTGACCTGTAGATGAGCCAAGGCCTGGAACATGCACCCAAGGCCTGCATGGGGTTTCTTCTTATTTTCTTCACTCACCACATCATTCTCTGTGTCCATCAGGCAGGGTTGAGGAACATTGAGGAGGAGGCCGCACCAGAGCTTCACAGGGCCATCTCTGGAGATCTTGTGACTGAAGAAGAAATAGAACGAGCTACTGACGCTGTGGAGGGCATTTTCAGGGTAGGATGGAAAGATAAATAGATAGGTGGAGGGAGGGAAGGAAGTATGAACGGTAATATATAGACATTTACCAGAAGCTGAACGACCCTCCCTGCCTTCACTCAAACAGTAGTCTCAAACAGTGGTTCCCAACCTTTTTCCTTAATGGACCCCTTTTATGTCATTGAGTAAAGTAAATCAATTATATATTTAATGGATATTTCATATTATATTCACTGCATAACAGTAACAGTAGAGACGTGCTGCAAAAGGCCACAGGTCGGAATTTAAACCATGGCCACTGCAGCAAGTTCTCAGCCTTGGTGCATGTGGCACCAGCTCTACCAGGTGAGCTACCAGGGCGCCCCATCTTCTAAAACATTATATTGAATTATTTTGTTGTGATTCAGTACTCTGAAAAGAACTGTTTTGCCCATCACTAACTTCAGGCCAGCCACTTAAGGTACACTTAAGGTTTCAGCAAGTACTTTATAGTAACTGTCTTCATGTGTCTGTCTTTATTCTGACATCATTTCCAATGATTAGCATGTGACATTATTGCAGCTTTAGAGTGAGAAATGGTCACTTCTGACGAGCATAAACACAAGGGGATGAACAAAAAATGAAGGTTATATACTATTGACAGTTTCATACTGATGTGTAATGTTTTTGTATTAACTTGTATTGGCATATGTGTCAGCTATGAATATAGCCTACAATAACTGTGTTATCTTCTCTAAAACAGAGACAAGGCAGTCTTTTTGGAAACCACTCAGACCCTTTTTCTGCAGAGAGTGAAATAGCCGATGCCAGCCAGGCCATGAGCCAACGCCCTCTGCAGATGTCAGAAGGAATCAACAACAATATGAATATCAGCAACATAAGTCACAGGTCTGTGTGCTCATGCTTATTTTCGGGTATGTTAATACTGCTGAATCCTTAAGTTTACTGCATTATCAACAAATTATTTTATTACTGTACTGTATTGTCCAATTTGGACAGCACAGTATTGGTGCCTGTGTGTGGCACTGAAACTTGTTGTACAACTGAACTCAAAACACCTTTTAGCAGGATTCCTAATTATCAAAACCCTTCCTTGATGTAACAAGAATACTAAGACATATTCACTAATCCTGGTGTAAATGATCAACGGGGCTTAGCTTTTGCGTCACTGCAGTTTTTCAGTTTAGCTGGTATTTACTAAGACTAAAGATGTAGTAGAAAACATTATGCCCAAGAAAAGTTCCACTCAGTAACTGCTGCTATTGGATGGATTCTGTATGTTGTGTCTGTGTCTGTATCTGTGTTTTTTAACTAACCTGACAACACTGCTCAAGTAGCTAGAAGGCTTATTTACCATACTTGAGCAAATATGGTGGCTAATATAAATGAACAATTTGCTGAAAATAGTATTGATTCGGTAAGTTGTAGGCTACTGTTTCAAACCAGGTTGGCGGTTAAGTGCACCTTGCATTAGGAGATTTATTTCATCCAAAGCCTAAGTGGTAAAAAATTAATGTGGCCTATTCACAGTCTGAATATAAGATAACCCTAACCCTTCATTAACAAAATAATCTATTTTTTAATTGTTTCTGTATTGACATTTTGAATCTTAATTCTAAAACAAATATAGGGTAAAACTGTTTCTTTTTGTGGGTGCAGTCTAAATTCAGTCAATTAAATGCTATTTAATTGTGTTCATTTATTGTTAGTAAATAAGGCACTGGGATTTTTTTTCCTGGGTGGGGCAATGGCCATCATTTTGGCCATAGCCCCACCTAGTGGAAAAGTCACGCCACTGAAGAAGGCTATTTTTGTGAGTGAATATTAAATAGCCTACTTTAGACTCCACAAACACACAACTGATTTATTTTAGTTATGAAAAATGTGTGTGGGAGTAAACCTTTTAAACTCCTTTGAGTACATTATTTCTGTTAACAAATTAAATATAATATAATTATAAGCATTAGTAAGCAATATCATACTCAACTGGATCTACCATCAAAAGTCAGGGCTTCAAACGAAACGAAAACAAAAGGTTGTGAAAACAAGTTTTAGGTCATTTTGAGATTATTTTGAATGACATTTCAGAGCAGAGATTTCACACTTTAGATAACAGCTTGTGGAAGAGATTATATTTAAAAAAACAGAAGACTTAGGTAATTGGCATTTCACCTCTGTGTGGACAGCAGGGACTAGTTCTGGCAGTGGTTGGGCTTTTCACCAATGTGCAAGAGGTTGCCAAGGCTGACAATCCCATCCGCTAATAACATATGAAGGGCTGCAGTTCTGGGCCAGAAATTCCAACCAGAAAATTACACACACATATATAGTCTGAAATTACATAGAATTCAGTCCTTTCTACAATTGCATTTTCCCAGATTCTCCTCTCTTCATTCAGACAGAAGGGACTGTTTCCTCTGACAGCTGAGCCTAACTGTACAGAAGCAAAAAATACTGGGTAACCACACTTACATGTAAAATAGAGTAGAGGCTGAATAAATAAATAAGAAAATAAGTAAATAATATTATATTAGCTTCCGTAGAACAAGCGATGATGTCATCATATTCAGAGAAGAAATTATTTTACCTCTACAAAATAAACAGCAATGTACAACACATGCAGAAATCAGGAATTCTTTCTGCATGTGTTGTACATTGCTGTTTTTTTCTTCAGATTGTTTTTATTGGACAATTGATAGTATATGCATGGACAGGAAACAGGGGAAAAGAGAGGGATGTGGCATTCAACAAATGGCCCTGTAACCAAATCAAGGACATTGCAGTTATCCGCTTAGCCACCAGGAGGCCCCATGTACACTGTTTTTTTATTGTAATGCTAATTTTCTGGCTTGCATGTTTGCCTGAAACTGAGATTGCATAACTGTTTCATTCTTCTCCCTGTTTTCTCAGCCTTTATTAACAGTAGTTTGGAAGTATTGACATCTGACCATTGATGTCTGTGAGAATACTTCACAGTCATGCCTTTTTACATCTGCATAATGGGGGCAGCCGGAGCTTTTCAACAGACGCAAAGAAGAACTGTGATGAAACGGGTTACCAACCGTGGCAACATCTGCACCCAGTGTAGAGCAATGGACTTAGGGCCAGGATGAAAAACTCTGTTAACTAATAACACTAAACAAAACCAAAAATACTTTCTTCATTAAATGATTAAACACTCTGCTATTGTGAACTTGTTCTGGTTTTCATGTCTTGACAGAAGAATGCACATTTTTCAAGTCAAGTCAATGCTGTTATTTGTCTGTGGTGTCTGAATCCATTGATATGCCCAAAGCTGCATTACATTAGCATTAGTGTGAAGTTATGGTTCTGTCCAATATTCATTCTCCTTTAGCTCTATTTTGGTTACCTTCAACTCCTGATGAGTTAGGGTCATATCTGCTTCTAAAGCTGCAGTGCACACATTTGTCATTTGCCTCAGACCTCAAGGAGGCAGGAAAGACACAGAGTTGACATAAACAAGATCATGGGGCCAAACCAGTAGGGGGCCGGAAGCTGCACCCAGACGTCACTACTTGTACAGCACACAACAGTCTCATTGTCCCACTTTGAAAAGTAAGGACTGCTGTTGTACTAGTAAGTACAAGTACCGAATAGACAGTCCAGTCCAAGGTGTAAATGTTGCTGGTATAATGTTGATATGACTACAAGCAGATCCTTTTCACTGTTTGTTTCTATTCTATTTTTCCTGGGAACCACACGCAGCTCGCAGAAACAAGAGGAAGTGGGTAGTGTGGCTGCTCTAACCTGTTAACATGGGCGCAGAAAAAAAAAAACAAGATGTTCCATGATGTGTGTTGTGTCCACGCCATAAAGCTTTTCAAATAAAAGGAGACATAAGCAAGCAAAAACAAACAGGAATCATATTGAAGTTTCTTTCTTCTCCCTATAACAATAATATCAGTAATTACAGGTGCACTGATCCATATTTTCATCCTATCAGTGTATCAAAGGTTATGTTTAATGTCAGTGGGGTTAGTTGAAGAATGAGAATTATCACCAAGAGCTTTTTAGCCAGTGACTAACAGTGGTATTCAGTGTTGGGCCAGGTACTCTACATATGTTATTTATTACTCATTACTCTTTTCAAATGTAATATTGTAGATATATTACCTGCTACCCCACAAAATTGGTAATTTCCTCCTTTCCCCCTAGTTTTGTTAGTTAAAATTAAAGTAATGGAATATTTCCAGCCACTGAATGTTAGGGTTTCCATATTCCAAACTAGTTTCCTCCACAATTACAAAAATGAATATGTGGACGTGATCCGATTTCCAAACAGTAGGAGGGTGACAACAAAAGTAGGGTTGTAACTAATTATTTTTAGGGGGTTACTAATATTATTACTGAAATGTATTGTTAATTAGTTTCACTACTAGTTGCTGGGGAAAGTAATAGTATTACTTGTAATGTGTTACTACCCAACACTGGTGGTATTTAACAGATAATTTGTTCAACAAGTGGACTCAAAATAAATGCTGTGTTGCTCTGTGTCTGCTGGACTGTAAATAGGGAACACATTAGCCATATACAACCTAAATGAGCCTTACAAAGCCAAAAAATATTCAATCAGTTTCAGTAATGCAATGCATGTCTCATGATGTTTTAAAGGCTGTTCCTTCCTTCCAATTCCACAGATTTATGGCATAAAAATTGACTGTGAATATTTAGACAAATGATTAGGTATTTCAAACAGCCCTCAACCCCCATATAATTCTACCCATATTACCAATATTCACATAAAACAGATTTCTTTTTTGCCTAATTTGGCAGCTGTTAGTGACTCCCTACAGGCAGGCGTGGGAGGCAGACATAGGCCTTGGCAAACAGATTGATGTTCAGGGGGTTGCCATCCAGACGGATATCTTCCAGGTTGCTGCGGATGAAGTTGCGATCATGGCGGTTACAGAAGGTGTCTTCATGCAGAGACTGGATGTTGTTATTCTGATTGGAGCACAAGAAAGTTACTGTTGACACTGAAAAGTGTTAAAATTCAACATTTGTGGAGGGTTAGGGCTTGCTATGTAACCAATATTTCATTCTTCATTTAACTCTGCATTTAGAAAGCAGAACATGCATAACATGGATGTGTTTCTCTACCTGCAGGTGTAAAACTCTCAAGCTAAGTGGGAGCGGTGTAGGAATGTAATCCAGGTTATTGTTAGACATATAGAGGAATTCCAGCTGGCTCATATCCTGCATGGAGGAAAAAGAAAAAGAGAACATATTGTATGTGTCACATAACAACACAGTAATATATGAAAATATCCACAAGATGGAGCCCTACGCCAACTATAAATGATCTAGATTTTGTGCAACTTGAATTTACTGAGTAAGAACATAAGAATTTCCATGTTTTCCATCATAATCATTGTTTTAATAAGCAGTATGGCTCTGTGTCCAGAATCCATAAATAACTGGATCTTACCATAATTAATCAGGGGGCTGGACCACTACTGGAACATCGATATGATCTATAGTATATTGTCTGTATTTTATGTTCTGACTAGATATCTACTGTTGATATAATTGTGCAGTACAAATGAAAGTAGGAGAACATGTTCCTGTCTGATACTGCAGCATAACAGATTATTTCATTGCCTTTATCAAACCTCTAGAGTACTGAGATATACACTAAATGTAAAAACTGTTGTGTGACTTTTCTGGCTTTGCCTTAAAGACATTAATTTGATCCTTTACTTAGATGTAAAAACTTGCTTTTAATTAATTAAAAAGCAATTATCAGTTTTCTAATGTTTCTATCATTATGTGAGGCAAAAATGGGATTCAACAGGTACTCCAGGAATTTAGTGTTGCAATTCTGTTGGCAGAGTCTTGACAGACAAAAGAGAAGGGCCAGCAGGAGCTCTGATGTCCAGAAATTTGGAACTCAATAGTATCTTTACAAAGTCTGTAAAACGTCATGCCCAAGTGACAAGGGCAGGTTTTCTATTATAATATAATAATATGATATATATATATATATATATATATAATATAGAAGTCTATACAATGCCAGCCACTCAGAATTGTTGATCCCAGCCAGAGGCTCTATTGGTATTTGTTTAGTGTGTGAGGATCACATTGAATTGTTAATTCTATTTAGAGCCAGTGTTTGGTTTGTCTGTTTTGGGCTACTGTAGAAACACAGAGGTTCATCATGGCGGCCTTTGTGGAAGAGGGGAGGACTCCCTCTGTAGATAAGCTCATTCTAAGGTAACAAAAACATAACGATTCTTATTTTCAGGTGATTATACACTAATGAAAACATACCTATGAATATTATATTCAATTTCTGCCAAAAGATCCTGCCAATGACCAAACACAATTTTTCATCATTGGGTTTGGGCTAAAAGATGTGGGAGGGAGATAAGAGGCCTGTACTACAAAGCAAGTTCACCATACCCAGTATATCTTTAGTTATCTGTCTTCACTAACCCTAACAACCGCAATCACACTAAGTGGTCACACAATGGTGGTTTTCAACTCGGTAAAGTTTCCTAATCCAGTCATGGCTCATTAGTGCAAGCAAAAAAGCAGATTATTTTTTCACCCTATTTATAATGTTTTATAGGATGACATTGAAAAAACAACTGAAAGAGAATGTTTTATTCAGCCAAGAAACAGAACAGAACAGACCAGTAACAAATAGATTCCCAGACAAGTCATTGTGTAGTATCAGCTGGGACACCCAGAGGAAAACCCAAAAGATGTGTTTTGTCTAACAATATTCATACTCAAACCCCCAAACTGATCCTTTGTTGCCCAGGGAGAAGGTCCCCAGTATCTTAAAAATTGTGCAGTTTTATGACTTGTAAAGTAAGGGAAAATTTTATGAACTTTGTGAAACATTGTCAATGACAAATTCTTAATTATGCTTGCTTTATCGTAAATTTTGCTAACATTATTTATGTCTACAGTAAAAAAAATATACACAAATCAGTTATATTGTGATTTATTCCCATGCATACTGCTCAGAGGAATCTCAGTCAATGGCTCTTCTGGCAGCAGCACAGCTTCTCTCGCTGTGTGCACACAGGCAGGAGTGATAGTAAGTTACTATGGTTATGGTGAGACAGCACAGTGGGTATGTGTTTGCATATTTATGGGCCATTAACTTAGCTGAATTGCCAACCTTAATAAACCTTTTCAACCCTCTACCTCCCATCACAAAGAACACAAAGTAACATTACATTACATTTCAACTAATTTCATCATTTGCACTACATTTATGAAAGAAGACAATAAGACAGTAAGACCTTATGCTTATGTCATACCGACATTTTAAGCATATATGCAAGAGATTTACCTTGAATCCCTCAGAATGTACCCCATGACTGATCAGCCTGTTGTTGCGTAGATCGATGTGTTTCATGGTGATTGGCAGCTCAGGCATGACCTGCAGGTTGTTATCCGCCAACAGTAACACCTGGAGCTGCGGCAGAGAACGAAACACTTCCTCATCCATTCCAGAAATCTTATTCCCTGTTAGATCAATGGACTGGAGCTTATCTGTGACAACAACAATACAAAAATCACATCAACTATTATATGCCATTTATCGTGTTATTAGTGTGTCCAAAGTGATTCCTCACTCAGGTTGATGAAGTTTGTGTTCTTGACATGTCGAATCTTGTTGAAGCGGCCATAAAAATGAGTGGTGTCTTTTGGCAGGACTGGTATCTGATCCAGGCCTGTGTCATCACAGTACACACTCCCACCAATGCAGACACACAGTAGACAAATAGGCATACCTGCACAAAGACAGATGGCAGAGTATTAACACATCACACACAATACACAATTTAACTATTTAATTTTAAAAAACATCAGTGACAGCAGATATAAACACAGTTGACACTTTAACCTACCCAGGCCAGTCTCAGGGCCAAAGATACCTGGTCCCTTAAAGTCCAGGGTGACAGGAGCTAGAGGTGGGGTGGGCAGGGTCCCCTCCTTTTCGTAGTGTTCAGCAGTTTGCTGGTTGGCTGGTGCCACAGTACCCACTTCAAACTGACCTCCCAGGGAAGCCAGGAAGACAGTGACAGTTCAAATTAGATTTTTAGTACTGTTATTTTAATGACTTTTTAGATAAAAAGCAAAGTGTTATGGTTTATCCGTGATGCAAATACCTGTATCCCATTGAGGTTCTTACTATGCTACACTTATGTTTATGTGTACTCCAGGGTGTTTCAGTACACAGTGCCTGTTGGGTGGTGTTTAGTAAGGGTAAGTTACTGAAAATTTGTAATTAGTTGCAGTTACTAGTTTTGTTTTCTGTCATTCCAGGGAACTCCACAAGAATATCTAAAATAAGAGCTTGTACTATACCTATTTATTGAACTGCCTTTGGGCAGTTATTCCTTCTAAACAGCAACACGAAAGTAACATTACATCCACAGCACTTGCTAGCTGCTAGTTCTCTACTGCTTCTAATGTTATATTAGTGTTTCATCACTTCCCCCTCACCTCTTGGTCCAAGTCATCATACTCATAAATGTTTCCAAACAGGTCCAGTTTCTCCCAGTCCATCTCATTGTTCAGGTCGTAGTTCTCAAGGTCAAAAGCTTCATCATCTGGCTCACCTGGAGGGGCTGCCATGTAAGGGCAAGAGCCCATGAAGACAAGGACCAAGACAAGAGCCAACATCTGAGACTGCAGAGACATCCTCAGCTAAAAAATGGAGACCTGCTAACAGAGAATGAAGGTTTTCATTTAAGAGTGACAATATGTTTAGTTACTGTGTCTCAAACAGGGACAGTTTATTATAATTTGAGTACTAAGCCAGTAAAATAAATACATGTATTTAAAAAATGCCCACCACCAATGACAAAAAATGTTAATTGCACAGTTAAATAAATACAATATGTAAAATCTAAATATTATTATTATTAAACTCTGACAGGCTTTCCTTTCCTAGTGTCTGGTCAGAATGTTCGAATAGGGGTGGCATTATAAGTCTAAAACCCTGACTACAGCCCCATTGTAAGATAGAATTCAATTCACAGTATGTCATTTCTGCTATTAGACCTGTTGGCTCTGTAAGCGAACTGCAGGGGGGCCAGGAGTGGGTCCGTTATGGCTCTCAAAGGCGCTCAAAAGACTTCATGACCACAGAGGTCAGGGTGACAGGTCTGTAGTCGTTGAGTCCATTTGGTCTTTGGTTTTAGGGGATGGGGATGATGGTGGAGGCTTTGAAAACAGACTGTCACATGATGGAAAGACAGTCTGGTCCGACTGCTTTGCGGGGGTTCTGGCTCTTAAAGAGCCTGTTGACATCCCTCTCCTGAAGACAGAGAGTCATCTCTGTCGAGTAGGAGGTGGAGGGTCACAGAGGGGTGGAGTTGTGGATAGGCCCAGGTTCCTGCTGAGCTGGGGGTAGGAGAGCTGATGAGATGGAGGTGGTGGAGGGTGTAACGGGGGATGGTATCAGGACTGTCCCTTTGTCTTTCAAAGTGAAAGCTTTGAAAGACAAAGTAAACTTGTACATTTTTTACTTGTGACTTTTTGAACCCATCCCTGTCCCCACTCCTGAACACTTGATATGCACTGCTGACTATAGTGTAACAGTGATCCATAATATTCTCCTCTCTGGTCAAGCATTTAATACATTGTTTGTATTTGGGGAGTTTGTGGCTGAGGTTTCCTTTGTTAAAGTCACAAAAACTAAGGAGTCCAGGGGCACATCCCAAATTATTTGACATTTCCTCGCTGCTAGCTAGAACCGGAAGTTTGTTCTGGTCCACCATCTTGCAGGTCATCCCAAAGCACTTATTTCTGCACAGAGTAGCAAGGATCAAGGAGCGATCTCTGAGGATCGAAGATACACGAGAGAAACCTTCACAGAAGACGAAATGGATACTGTCATTGAAGATTTTTCCGTCACATTGGCAGAAATTGGCTTCCATAGGACACAGAGTTATCAGTGCCAGAGCAGCAGCCTGTAACCTGTTTAACAAACACCTGCACATGAATAACACCTGTATTATAGTGATGATCAGATTGCAGTAAATCTGCAGCACTAAGATCCCTTGAGCCCACGGAACTTCACAACATTGTCTTTTGTTATTGTTTTGATGTGAGTGACTAACCTGACTGACTGAGACAGTTGGTTTGAACCATCTGGGAAGTCGTTGTTGGAAACTGCTAAAAAAATACGGATAAACCACTGGTGAACTTCAACCAATCAGATCTACAAACAGTCAAACTAAAGCCACTCTGGAGAAGAACGAAATCATCTTTTCTATCAAGAAAAGCCTTCACTGCCATTCTTTGTTCTTCTTTCAACATTTACACTAACCTTTAGCAGCCGTCATTGTTGTTTTCCAGTGAGTAACACCTTTTTAAACTGGATTTTAACTGACTTGTATCTCCTGGATAATAGTATATCATTTTATGTATTATAAATTAATGTAATTTATCTGTTTTTTATCTGCCTCTTGTGTCCTTTGTTAATGCACTTTTTAACGTTTTTAAGAAAAGTGCTATACAAATTATTAGTACCTTATGAATGAGGCTGAATGAACTTGGAAAAAAGCACATAGCTTGAGGCCCGGCAAGATGGAGCCCAGCTAAAAGGTTAGTGAGCCAACCTATAGCAGCATAAATTACAAAGTGGATGTTTAAATCCCAATCCTAACGTTCTATCAGGTTATTTTCTCATTGATATTGTCTCCCATATGAATGCCCCTTTGACATTCTACATGCTAAACATTTAGAAGAGGTTATTGTGGGTATAGGTCCACACATTTGTCAAATCAAGCTTAAGTTCCTGTCTTTGACAGGCATTTTTGTTTTGAACTTAATAACCTAATTTCCTTGTCTACAAAGTGTACTTCAAGGGTCTAGGGTCTATGCCTCCCTTTGGTCACATAATTAGTAGACAATATATTGTTTCATTTTATGCAGATTCCTTTCCTTTCCAGACCCTTTCTTCTAAAAGACTGCTATGATAATCAAAATGGTTTTTGATCATTTTGATCTGAAGTGAGGATGAGCATCTTTTCAGATTTTTCACTGTCAACTGGCAATAGCCATCACTGATTCCAGCAGCAACCATGTGAAGAACATTTTTGATACAAATTTTGCCAGCCAAGTTAAATTGTCATGTCCATTTATCTTAAGATTGTTTAAAGGTCCATTGTATAGGATGTAGTGGCATCTATTGGTGTAGTTGCAGATGCAACAAAGGAGAACCCCTTTTCAACCCTTCTAGGCAACTATAGAAACATGGCCGTTCAACATGGTGGGCTCCATAGAAGGTGACCCGTGGCATGTGGCATGAAGCATGTGTAGATATAAAAGGTTCATTCTACACAAACATAATGATTCCTCTGTTCAGGTGATTATACACTATTGAAAACATACCTATGAACATTATATTCTATTTCTGCCAATAGATCCTCCTAAATATTACACACTGGACCTTTAAGAATTTGACCGAATCCCTGCCCTGATTAGTGAGCCAAAGGAGCATTGTTGGCTTTTAGGTCAGAATACCAAAGGAATGATTGCTTTGAAAGCTGAAAGGACTGTGTGAGTTTTGGTCTGCTGAGATAGTTTACTGAGTTTTAAAGGAGATCTGTCGTTATACTGTCAATATCCTGTCATTAATGAACAAATAATCATTCTGTCATGCTACTTGTTAAAACACACAGGTCCATAACAGCTGTAGTATCTCTGAATACTAGCCACCAGACTCATTGACATGCACAGTCTGAAATTAAAGTATAATCTGTAAAAAGAACTGTGAAAATAGAACAGGTCTTAATCTTACACTGCCTACACTGTACTGTAGTGTCTGCAAACAGTATGAATTCCAGCAGTGATTAAACCAGCCACTGCAACTGAGACAAATATCTGAAATAAAACTAAATGAATCTCTTTAATGGGACGTCTCTCATTTACATCCAGGAACAATTTAATAACCATCAGAGCAAATAATCATTATTGTAAGGGACTCAGCGCTTGAACGAAATGTGATCTTCTCCTGCTTGAATTAAAGGAAACAAAAATGACATGCCATAATTGCAGAGAACTTACTGCTTTGTTTCCGCTGTACACTCCTGAAGATTTCACAACCTTCACTTCTGCTAATTCTGTTGCTTCTTCATCCCCTGGGTGCTCTCAGACTGGTCCCAGAGTCCCTGCAGACCCCTTGTTGTTCACTTGGCCTCAGTGGCCTGTGGACAATGCGTCATTATGAGGTGGAGAGAGGGGGAATGACACAACAGAAGGAGAGGGGGGTTGTGCAGGTCATTTCAGGCAACGTGTTTTCAGCTGTCACTAGTGCCTAACTTTGTTGCAGGAAAAAAGTAGGTTCTGAAACTTAAAAGGAATAGATGCTGTTGGTATATTTTAACCAGGGCCGGCCCAAGGCATAAGCGAACTAAGCGAACTAAGCTGCTTAGGGCCCCGTGACCACTAGGAGGCCCCCAAGAGCAATTAACTTAAAAAAGAAAAAAGTAATTAATTATTTTTTTCCATGTGTAAGTGATGATGATTCATATATTATCAAATGTACATTCTTGTACAAAAAAACCCAACAACAATATGATGTTAACAGAGTGTAGATCCTACTGCCTCTCTGCTCGAACTGTCAGAGCTCCGCTAGTAACGTGTGCAGTGCTCCCAACCATGCAGTGCCGTGCGCACTGAGCATCCAGGAGCTAGGAGCAGGTGAAAGATGTCGCAAGAAAGGACTTAACAGTTAAGTTACCCTTCAGGGGCAGAAAGAGGAAAAGGAAGAAAGAGGAAGAAGAGAAAAAATGACAAGATAAAGGTATGTCTTGGTAACATTTGGTGTCAAGGAGATTTTGAAAAGTTCCCTGAAATTAGGAAAGTCCCTAATTATTGTTGATATTTATTTTATTTTGTTCCAAATACGTTAGCCTATAATAGCAAATTTGCTAGCTAACATTAGTTCAAAACATCTTACTACTTCTCTCTTATGGGTCGGTTAGATAGCTTACTATTCAAGCTAACGTTTTTGTGTTTGTGTAATACTTTGAATAAGTTGATTGTCAGTGTATATATATTATTCTGGGTCGCTTTTTGGCATCAAAACAAAATTTTTGATAACAACGTTTAATAGCCAATGTTTAATAACTAACGTTAATTACAAACGCGGTGACGTTTGCTAGCAATATGGTTTTGCATTAATGAATTCATTTAGTTAACTTATAGTTTGAGGTATGTTGATTGCAATTGTTTGCTGCAGAGCACAGTAATTTATGTGAGTAAATAAACATATTCCTTTTACATCAACTCCTGCTCATACGTTATATGAAACTTCCCCAGGAGCACTGTTAAAATGTTAAAATATTTAGGAGGAGGCACTGACTCAGCCCAGGGGCAATCCACCTCCTCAGGAGCAGCCAAGGCTGATGAATCAGGTGATCAAAAACTGTAATTTCTAGTCAAATTATCTCATTAAGATACACTAATATAAGATATAATCATATGACAAGGGACATGTTTTTCATCTCAGGTCCATCTCTATCCTCTGCTCCATCCACTGTGCCCACTGTCCTCTCTGCAACCTCAGCTGTACCTGGTAAGTTAACAACAAAACAACCTTTATAATTGCTCAGTGTACTGCAGAATATTCTGAGATTAATAACTTTGTCCAAAAATATTATTTTAATTTCCCTATTGGTCCTTCATCTTTGGTCATCGAGATTGATGTGTCTTCTTCAGCATCAAGTTTGGAGCAGGGATCAGCAGCTCCGCCAGTTGACCCAGCTGAGTGTCCCTCTTTCCTTTCAGACTCAGAAAGGACTGAACAGGTATTAAGAGGGCCACTGCCTATAAAGGACACATTCACATTCCCAAAAAGACATATGGCAGTAATAGAGGGCCCCATGGAGGCTTGGGCCGGCCCTGATTTTAACTAATAGGCACCTATTCTGTTATTAAGGGGTCCAGTATGGGCTGCTGAGCAACAATCTGGCATTTGGGGGGAATTAAAAGAGAACTTGGTGTTGTAAACTATAGTACCCATTCTAATAGTATGTCGTACAGTAGCACTTTATATCTGCTTTGAATAGTGGCCGACAAGGGCGAACGCGCTGCAAACGGCAAAATGCTTCGAACACGGGAATGATGCAAATCCAGAAACACACAAACACATAAAACAAATCCAACAGAAAAACACAGCAACAGAAAAATGCTGCAATCACAGAAACAAAGCAGAAGCACAAACTTACAAACACACAAAACAAATGCCAAAGAAAAATGCAGCAAATTTCAAAAACACACAAAACCCCAAAACAACTGCGAGATACAAACGCTGCAAATTCGCTCGACAAAACGGAAGTGCGCCGGGATGGACCAGACCCGAAAGACATGAAGAAGAAGAAGAAGAAAGTTGGTTAAGTTTTGGAGAGGAGAGTAAAAAGGTACGGAAGCGTATTGCATTCACTTGAAAAAAAAAAAAAAACTCAATAAATGTATCTATTGGTTTGTTTTTTTGAATAATTTTTTCTGTTTTTCTGACTGATTTTTTTCCCCCCCTTGTTTTTCTGAGTAATTCTTTTCCTGTTTTACGGAGTAATTTTTTTCTGTTTTTCTGAGTAATATTTTCTGTTTTTCTGAGTAATTTGTTTTCTGAATTATCGAGATACTTAGAACTCCCGCGAGAACCTCCAACCTACAAGTGACTCCCATGGACCTATGGTGACTCCTGCATAGATACATACATGCCCCATCTTCAACTAGGCCTATCTACCGTACCGGGTCAATTTTGCTATGTATATATTGCTATGTCTAGCAGATCTGAATGGGCTTTCCTTCTGAACAACCACAAAGTCCTCAGGTGCATGCGTGCAAACTAATGATAATACCATCTATATGACTTGAAGACAGGACTATCTCCCAGTGCCTTAAACCCAGATCGAAGTAAAACTTAAACTAAACAAGCCATTCATGGTTGTTTCCGTTAAATCAAGCTCTCAATAATGAATGAATGGGTCTATTGTTTCAAATGCTCTCTAAACTCAGAAGTCATTATGTATTAATTAATTATTAAAAAAATCAAAATAAATTAGTCAGAAAACCAA